TCATCATCAGAAATGATGCGTCTTCGAGCTCGAGGCCTTCTCACCAAAGAGCCCCCGTCTTCCTCTTCTTCAGAATCTTCTTCTTCAACAGCTTTTCTTTGACGAAGAACCCAAAACTATTTCTTGAGCCCTCTTTAAAGAGATACGGGTTCCTGAAGAGATGCGGGAAGCCGCAACCGCCTCGGCAGTAACTCCCCGAATAGCAAATCCTGATAAAAAGAAGGATTGAAATTAGTGTAAAAAAACATTATATGAAAAATGAAATAATACGAAAACTCTTACCATGAGTTTTTACTTTCCAGCCAAATCGGTTAGAAAGTGTCTTCCAAGACCTATCATCCATTGGTGCAGTCTTTAGTAACTTGTCTACCCAATCACGGAAATTGGGAACACTTTCCACAACTCACATGGTTGCTAAAAAAAAGGGGCAAAATTAGAAAAGTTGACAAACTTGAAGAAAAAAAGCACGAGAAAGTTAAAAAGACTTACGTGCAAAATTCCACTTCTTAGGGAAGGGAACATTATCTTCACCCACTAAACCAACAGTGGGGGCAGCAACAAACCTGGCATACCAGCCACGGTCTTTGTCATCCTCAGGGCTTACCAAAACTCTCTTACTCCTGGCTACTAGTGTGAAAACACCATTGCAGAAGAGCCTAGGGGAATAAAGGTGAATCAAATGAGGGAAAGTAAAGGGAACACCAGCTGTGTTGGTCAAATACCTCAAACAGGCAACAACCCTCCATACGATTGGGCCAATTTGACCCAAACAGACATCAAAGAAACAACAAAACTCAAGAATGACCGGGTCAATAGCTGGTTTAAACCCTAAGGTGAAAGGGTATGTATAAACAAAAGAAAACCCGGTTAAATAAGAGGTAATTCTTTGATTTGGATTAGGGATGATAATAGGAAAATCACTACTGCAATGGCAGTCACTACGAACTACAGGAATCAAAACTTCTGTAATTTGAGTGGGATAGATATCAGCACGATCTAAACCAGAGACTTGATTCCTAAGAGATTCTCTGTCATGATAAAAAGATAGTTCCGTAGGAACTATCTCCTCTACTGTAGGCTCACGAAGAGGTTCAGAAGGTTCTTTACCTCTTGAAGAAGATCTTTGTGAAAGTGAACCCCTAGTTCTAGAAGAAGGGCCAGAACTAGATGAAGGGACAGAAGAACCACCACGAACAGACCCTAAATTACGAAGTCTACCTCCCCTTCTACTCCTGACGGGGGCATTAGGGAAGGTATCAACTATGGGAACTCTCCTAGGGTTAGGGTTTGATGAAGACATAGTAAAGAACGATGATACGAAGAAGAAGCAAACAAAGATTTGGGAAATTGAATATTCGATAAACTTTATGTGGTAAAGACAAAGAAGGAAGTTATATTTATATTTATAAGACACCGTCAAGGAAAAAGTGCAATGATGGAAGGACCATAATAATGATAACTGATGCTTCGTAAGCAGGGAAGTCGTAAATAAAGCCTAAAAAAGAGCTGCAAAACTGCAGAACTAATAAGAAGGTGACACGTGTAAAACACATTAAATGGAAGTGACAATTGAAGCGTCGATTCTGTCACAGCATTTATGGTGACAAAAATTCTCGTTTTAATGAAATCCACTTCCCAAATATTCAATTGATGAATAAATGGCAAGTGGGGGGACTATCTGTATTGGGAAAAATTGAATTTACATATTAAAGAGGTGTGAAGATGACGTGTCGTGACATATAGATTGGTTAAAGAATTACAACTGGCAAGAAGGCACGAGTTGCAATAGATACGAGCAGAAAGCAAAAGAAGAGGCACGAGCGGAGGCAACGCTCATACCTGTTCAAGTCATTTAATCCCAAGAATCAAAGAGAATGAATCTGACAGCACACGAGAGTCCAGATACAGTATTTAATGAGCATTAAATACCAAAAACGTTAGAGAATCTGTATTAAATATAATGATTATGTAACGTAGCATTTAATGTCTTTAATTGCCCATAATAGCCTTGTTATGACGGAGGCAAAACACATATCTCCAAGGTACCTATAAAAGGGAGATAACTGATCAATTGTAAGGACACGAAACACTATCTGAATATACTTTGGTTTACTTGTTTCTCTTGATTATATTTTTACTATCCAAATTGCTTTCTTTTATACATTCTTTTGAATATCAGTATTCCACGTTCTTCTAAATTATAAGCTTTAATCGAAATTTTATTTTTTGGTTAAACACCTATGCCTTGAGTTCAAACCTTATTCAAACTCAACCATGGTGAACTTCGAGGAAGTCATCCAAAATCCGAAGTCTCGAACGCACCGTTCAAAGCATAAGGTTGTGTTGAAAATTTTACAAGGCAAAAATATGTTTATAAAAATGGAGAAGGCATTCAAGAAAAATTTCCTCTAATATATATATTGATGAAAAAGGATTTGTACAAGAGACCGACAGGGGTCTTACAAAAAAAGAAAGAAAATTAAAATCCTAACTATGCCTGGGGCTGGTTACTCCCTCAGGGGCAGCTTCTCCTTCGGGCCATCGTTATCGGATCCGCCCTGGCTGCTTTCATCATCATCGTCATCGGAGGAGGAGACAAGAAACCTGGCATCAGCTTCAAGCGCCTTAGTCTGAGCTATCTCTTCGGAGAGGTCAAAACCTCGAGCGTAGATTTCCTCGAGGGTTTCCCTCCGAGATTGGCACTATAAAATTAAGAGACTATAATACCCTTAAGAAAATGAAAATTGCTCCTTCTTAAATCGATACATTAACCAAACTTAATTATTTGAAAAATTGAGGAGCTGCATTAGATAATTAAATGAATGTGTGGAAGGAAAGCTCAAGGGACTCCACCGAGGAAAGAACTAAATTGCGTTCAACCTCAATGCAGAAAAACATAAAGCATTTCATAATAAAGAATAAGTAATACTCCACACTAACTATGATAATAATGTTATTAATAGTATAACGTAGAGTAAGCAAATAGTCTACCATTACAATTTATCATTTATGCTGGTTCGTCAAATCAAAAATAATTTTTCATCTTTTATGATGGTTCGTTGAGATACAAACAGTTACTAAAATGCCAATTTATTTATGCAAATCATATTTTTACGTAATTTTTGTATCACTTTGCACAACTGCTGAAAATTCTTTTCTTTTGTTTTTGTTCTGTTTATTCTTGTTAGTTACTTTTCACAAACATATGACTTACATTTTTTCAGAAAAATATAATATGTACGAATTATTTTACTTTTAATCGGAATATTAATGTCGAAAACAAAAATTGTGATTATGACAAAGCAAATCATAATGAAATATACATCAAGAACATCGTATGTGTGTACGTATCTCATATGATCAAAATTAATATGATTATAAAACATGCCTAACCTAACTAAATATAACTGTGTACCTATCCAATCATTTTAAGTTCAACACCGTACATCTTTCAAATTTTGCATAATACTTAATGTACACGTCTTAATAATATTAACTTTATATTAGAAAATCTGTACTGGTTTATATGGGACACACGTGCTCAGAAACTAGTAAAATAAATAAGCTTAAAGTAACTTAAAAACATCGATGACTTTAGGAATAGGATAGGAATAAGTTAGAAGTTTGTAAATTTTGTCTAAAAAAAAATTATAAGAGTTTAATGATTTCTGGGAGTTAAGGATTTTAAAGCCTACCATTAAGATGCACTCCTTAACTGCAACTTCAATTTAAATTTCAAATTATCTCCAATTCAAGATCAAATTTTAACCTCGATTCAACAATAAATGTCCATTTGCAAGCTGAGACCTATTTAATAATGACCTTTTTAGGCAAATATTTATTTAAGCAAAACAAAATTGGCAAAAAAATAGACTAATAGTTGCAGGACACACGCGTGTTGCGGAGTAATAGAGTGGAAGCACAAAAGTCCCCTCAAACTTTCTACTGATTTTGCAGTATTGTTACTACCTCAGATTTCTTTTACTACTACTAGTATTTTTTTTTTCAAATACAAATTACTATAGTCATTTGCAAAATTGAGAAGAAACTAATTATACTTATTTACTTTATTCAATTTTACTCTTACTGTTGTTTTAACTGATCGACGCTTACTATCGAGGTTAGCGTGCATTTTGGCATTATAGTCCCCATCGTCACTTTTCCTTACTAATTAAAACGACTGACTTAGAGTCGATTATCGTATTTCTTACAAAAAAATTTGTGTAAATTATGGAACTTGCAGCCGTAATTGGGCGTGTTATGTGTAAATCCGCTTTAATGTAATAGCTTGCAAACTATAGTAGAAAGGTAAATCTTATTAGGCAAGTTCCGTACAAAAATATTTAAGTGGAGGGACCTCAAAAAGAGTTATTATTATTTTTATTTGGTAGCCTTTCCACTATTTTAAGACTAACATATATTCATTAATCACTTGTTTAAACAGAAGACAAACATAATATGATCAAATATATCTTACAATCAATATTATTAATTAAATTATTTTAATAGGTACCAAATTTAAAATTCAAATAAAAAGTACCTAAGGAGTAATTTTCCATGGCTCCTTCCTTCCACTTCTTGCAACTAGAGGGGAGGGATATTCTGGTCATTCAAAATCCGAATGAAAGGCTAAATTAGTCATTTCATTAGTCTCTTTCAACTGAATTGATCTCAACTTCACGCATCATTCATGAAGCCCTCCCATTTCACCCAGCGCCAGAGAATCAAATCATTACCGTACGTGGACCCCACCCAAAGCACTAAAATCGTAATACGCCGTAGTTTTCAATTACTCGCCGATTTTTCCTTTTTCCGGCTTGTAAAATACACGCTGGCAACTTATGTAAGAAACACTTTGGCCACGTAGATGACAGTGGGATTACCTGCCTTTTGATCCAACGGTGACGAAAATCACGTTGCTGTGGTCCGTAGATAATGCGATGACGTAATAATTAATATATTCCTTATAAATCGCAGAAAAAGAGAAAACAGAACTCAGTGTGTGTGTGTGTGTGTGACTGACCGTTTTGTGAAATCTTCAGAGAATCGGGTAATCAGAAGCGAAAGCTTCGGTTTTTCCGTTTGTTAAGCAGAAATATTCTCAGCTCTAAAATCGTTACTATTTTAGTTAATCAAAATTTCTTCTTCTTTTTCCTTTCCTGTTCAGTTATGTGAATTGCAACATATTATAAGCTGGATTTTTCATCATTCTCTGGAAATGAGTAAGTAATTGCAATGTGTTCTAGTTTCCTTATTTTCTGCATTTTTTTAAATTTTGTTATGTCGATCTGAAAGAGTGAGACTCTTATTTTCTGAGATTGTATGAAAAAATTGTACATACATACAATCCAAATAAATCAGAAATGTTAATTGTAGTACTTAATGTTGATTTTTGGTAGTTATGGATATTAATTTATTAAATGTATTGAGATTGGTTATAAGTACGCTTTTTCTATTTTTCTTTGATGTGAGTACTTTGCGTGTGCTTTGTTTTTCTCTCTCTTTCTTTTTTCTGGGGTTGATGAGTGAGTATGAACCCGATTCTTTTTGTACATATTAAAAGGACCCAATTTCACTTTTCTTCTGGTAAAAATCTTTTTCAGTACCGTTTTTCTGTTGTTTACAGTAACTTTTTACCTCTTCTTCTTCAGCTGAAAAACCTCTGAGTTTTAGGTTCTGGTTAGTTTAGATTTACTACAAAAAAGGCTCTGTAATTTGAAGGTTTTTTTTCTTGTTTTAACAGACGCGAGGCTATTTGGTGGAAACAAATTGGTAATGCTAAGATGTGAAGTGTAAATTTGATGAATATGAATTTTTTTTAATTTTAATTCAATTGGTTTTTCGTCTCTCCGTATTAAAAGATCAACGGTTACTAAACAACAAAAACCATCAATGTAATAATATATTGTCTGTTTCTGTAAATATTCTTTTATTCTTATTTCATTCATCTGTATTTTTTTTGGTGTTTGCAAGGTTGAGTAACGCGTGTCGTATTGCATTACTCCTTTTTCCTTTTTTTTTTTCTCTTCTTTTTCGTTATCTATTAGTAGTAGTTCTTTATCCTTCTTTTTATCTTGATTTTTTCTTATAAGTTTTGATTTCTCTCAATTGGCTCTGATAATATTACTGGGTTTTGCTTTGAAGGTTCAGATTGTAAGGAAGAAAATGTCATAATAGCAGAATAAACTGAAGAAAAAAGGTGAAAATTGACAAGTCTAATCCAGTATGAACAGCGCTGGAATGAGTTGTTTAAGGTCCGATGGTGATAATGAGATTCATTCTAGTGCTGCTGTTAGGAAGCGGTTTAGATTTCCTAAAAAGGTGGGAAATTTTAGCTCAATTAGTATATCAATCTATAATTGGAGATATTGTAAATAGTACTTAATCTTATTTAATTGTCAACTATTTTGAATTTGCAGTTTTTCGACGAGTGTAATGGAGTGGATCATGCTTCTGTTCCTCGGAAACTTCGTTCAGGTATTTTTTTTAGTGAATTGAATTTGGAAATCAATCTCTTGCTTATGTCTGTTATCTTATTGGAATTGTTCTGTATTAATTGGGGCCTAGTGCTTGGTAGGGGGTCATTTGTTTCTTCTTCTTTTTTTCCAATATAGTAAATTTCTTTTCACTTTTCTTTCTTTTTAAGCATGAGAACTTAAAAAGTATTTAATCTGCAGTTGGATGATTGCACATGCCAAGTTTCTGATTGTACTCTAGTATAAAGTTAAAAAATAGTTCTTGTTTAAGTAACAGTTTGGACTTTGAATTAATTATAAAGTTTTATACAAGGATTCAAGCAACTTTAAGTCTGTTAAGAGAATTTATTTCCGTTTGTAGCTATCAAGAAGAGAAGTCGCCAGTCCATCACTCCGCCTTTGCCAGTTTCAAAAAAGCTGAATTACATGTTAGATGGAGCTGAAACACTAAGGAAAGACGTCAACAAATCTAAGCTCAAATTGGTTAGGAACCCGTAAATTTTGCAGCTTTTTCCTTTTACTAGTTCTTTTGCCTCTCTGATTCATACATCAGTATTTAATGCAGACTCGTCGTGGCTCAAATGGGTGTGTAACGGAGCTTGAAGGGCCAATCACCAAAGATGAAGAAGAAGTGGCTGAAACCTTATATGCTTTGGCTGGTATGATACCAGACACTGTCACCTCGAGCGCAAGCAAATTAAATAGTCAACTGTCAGAAATGAAATCTGCGTTAAAAGAAGCTGAGGCTTCTATGATTGCAAATGGAGGTCTGTTTGTTTGTTCTTTGTTTATGTGTTAGTATCTTCCATAATTGGTCATTTGTCACACTAAGTACATTTCATGAATGGTGTAGTTGTGAAGGAAGAGCAGGAGATAAGGACAACCAGCTCCCAATTCAATGATGAAGTTTCTAAGCAGTTTCCTGAGGTGGCTGTTTCAGCTGGAGAAGCTGCCAAATTAAAATCATCTGAGGATGCTTCCCAGTGTGATACATCGATCAGCACAGAGCAACTTGAAATTTCATTGCAACCAGTAGGTTTCGTTTGGACATTTTTATGTATGGTTAATACGTGACATAGATGTTGTTCTGACATTTTTGCTATTTAGATTGTTGCCTGTGGATTTCAAGCCAACCAACTGAACATGCTTAAGGAGAAGAGGAATAATGGTATAGCCTGCAAGTTACGAAATTTTCTAATGAGTGGTTGTACATATAACAGAGAAGCGGCATCCAAATTATGCGTTCAATATTTACACTTACACAGAAATGTCGTTTTTGTTTATCAGGTTCATTGTTGCGTCCAGGCTTGTCTGCAGGAGGGTCCTCTTGTTCCGACAAACTTGGTTTTTCAAAACAGTAATTTCCAATTTCTAGCCGTACTCTTTCTTAGTTTCTTTTGCCTACAAATATTGTTTGGCCTCTCATGCGCTGAGTAATGATAGGTATCCAATTGCCAAATTTCCTGCGTGGTTTGGAAGTACTGGTGCTGATGCTCAAGCTCAAAATGCAGAGTTTTCTCTCCCAACCGTGAAGGTATTGTAGTATTTTGATATGGTTTTTAAGTTACTTGTATATACTTAAGAGAATCATTCATTTGATTTGATTCTGCAGGATTCCCAAGTTCCACTTGATTTGAGAAAATCATTTAAGAGGTGTGCTGCTCATGTTTATATAAGTCGGCTGATAAAAGTCTTACAGACTTCTGCAAGAGAAGACATCGTCTCCTCGCATCCTCCTCAGTTGTCATCCCACGATGGATCAAAGCAAGGGACTCGCCTAATTCAGAACAGCCTAACTGGAAAGGTAAATGAGATGCATGGCATTGATTCTACCGGCAGTGTTGCCTGCACTACTACTGAGAAGAATCAAACTGAAGTTAGAAATGCAATCCTTTTGCACCAAAGACTCCTTCAAGAGCAGCAACAAGCTTCTACATCATCTGGGGTCAATTCTTTAGTAAAGCAGGTCAGTTATATTCGGTAATATATGATTTTCTTTATTGATACGCAATAACAATCAACTTTCTGTAATGGGCAGAACATAGATTTCCTGTCATTGTCAGCTGGAAGTTACGTGATGAAAGGTGCTAACGGTGCTAATATTGCTGGTCATAATCTTGAAGCGCCCCTAACCTCACAAAACCATCCAGCCATGCATTTCTTGCTGCCCCAGAATGGTTATTCATCTACATCTTTCCGTTTCCATCCTGCAACAGCATCAGCTCAGCAGGTGATTTCTAGTTTTTTTTTTAATAAAGAGCAGGTGGCTTCTAATTAAAATTACTTTGCTGCATTTAAGCATAACTAGTTTGCCAGAGTTTCAGTTTCTTGAATTAGACCATTCTTAAGATACTTGCACATTGTTTGGGTTGATCTCAGCTTGTGAAATGTGCTTTCACTTAAGCGCTTTTGCGATCCACAAGTAAATAGAATGCTTAGGTATCTTTATGTATCAGTACTCGGACAGCATAGGTACGTACTAAAATCTGGACCCTTTGGTTGCCTTGATTATGTAAAACAACATAATGCCACTGGGTGGATCTGCCACGACCATGGACGGACTATAAACAATAGTTTATGCAAAGACACCTGCCCAGTCAAATACATATCTACGTGTTTATATACCAATACATACAAAAGCTTATGTTAGAGAACAATATCAGTATATTTGTGCGATCAACAACATTTTACTGGTCAGCATCTTTTAAAAGAGGATTTGGGAATAAGTCAGTTTATGTGGTGACACTACTAATTAATACATTGCTTGGAAGCTTAAGGCGATTCTTTTATGGCTAAGTTGCAGGTTCTGCTGCCTCCATATCTTGGAGGTGCATCGACCCGTCCTTCATTTGCAGCTGATATGACCTTACAAAGCCAAACATTGCAGCAGAATGAACTACGCAACGCTCATTTCACTGATCAGTACAAGTTTGGAGTCTCTACCTCACAAATGCGAGACTGGCAAAATGCAGGGCGACAAATGCCTATCTTTGGACCTTCTCAAGCTCAATTTGCAGCTTCTTCCTCCTCCATGGAACCTCTTTCTTCCAAGCTTGCTCCAGTTTTTCTGAATGAGCAGGAGCTTATGTCCATTTCTTCGTCACGAGCTACTTCAAGGAACAGAGGACCATATTACCTTTTCCCTTCTGGCTACGAGGGAAATGGACATGGACTCTACCCCAATAAGGTGCCTTCATTGCAGCTGCTGTGCAATGGTCATCTTTAAGATTGAGAGGGAGGGTACAATATTAGCAATATCAAGATTATATCAGGCCTCTTCCAAATCATAATTGATTTATTCTTTTCTTTGCTTATGCATAAGAGTAAGTGTTCATTCTGTTAATGAAAATATCGAAAGGAGAAACGACAAGAAGTGAGAATATAGTAGATTGTGTCCCTTTGTTGGATGATGTAGTCTAGTACAATTTCATATATTAAAGGCTTACATATTATGTTTAACTTTCAATTAATTATAGAGTAACATTTTCAGAGAGATTTTCTTCTCTTTTTCCTTTCTTGCGATAGTTAGAGAAATAACACACCTGCGAATATGCCTAAATGGCTATTTGTCTGAGAAGACTGTTGACTTAACAACAGATTATCTCGTTACTCTATGAAGAGACTCGAATTAGAGGCAGAAGGGGGGAATAAAAAGAAAAGAGGTGAGATAATTTCATACTGCTTTAAATTTCTTTCACCGGGGTAGGGGTAAGGTTGCATACATCATACCCTCCCTAGACGACACTTGTGGTATGTTGTTGTTGCTTTAAATTTCTTTCTGCAAGCTATTCAGTCTAAAAGAGCTGCTCTTCGGTTTCTGTTCCTTCATACTTACAGAATGACTTATTTTCTGGCATTGAAATTTATAACTCAAGTCATCCTACCGCAGTTCGCCAGAAAAAGCTTGACTGATCAGAAAAGTTAACTGCAAGATATGTATATTCAAACTTGGCGAAGTTCAGTACATAACGAAGAATGAATCAGCAACATTGCCTATGAAGTTCTTCTGCAATATAAAATCATCTTTGAATGTATGAATAAATAAATTTAGAGATAAATGAGGCACAACCGACATTCAGGTATTAACAAGGTACAGAGTTTCTAATGCAGTAAATACAGCCAGACAGAAGAGGGGTCCAAACTACAACGGACAAGCGTCTATCTTGAGCAAGCATGAAAATCTTCACTCCTGCTTTTCCAATTCCCCCATTCTCTCTATAATTGCCTGCCATATAAAATAAAAAGGTTGTTCAGCACAAAGTCATACAGAATTTGGCAGAGTCGAAGCAGGATCAAATATGCCTTAGATCTGACATTTCATGCATAAGAGATAAACAAACTGATACAGATATATAATAACCCTGCCTCTGCTGAAAATTTTGCACCACTGTGAAATGTGTTTGTGGCAAATGTGAGGCCAAACTAACCAGTAAATTAGCATATACATATGCACATATATACATATACACACATTTGCATGTATGGATATGGATGTACATCAAAAGAGCAAAAACGAAAATTTTGGCCAAACGAAGTGATTAGAGTAGCATTTTCTTACCCTCTTACTTGTTTCTTGGAGCTCCCCAGCAAGAATAAACTCATCTAATATCAGATATACCTGTAGAGGGAATAAAATTGATTATAAATGATAGATTGAGTTAGTAAGGTGGCCATCAACTCTACCCAGGAAAAGTATATTTCTTCGTCAACATTTTTCTAGAGATGAAAGGAGTACAGAGTGCCTGTTGATAAAAGCTGCAAGCTAGAGAATAGCTGAATTCCCCTAATTTTTAGCAAACTGGTATTTTCAGTTAGTGCACCTGATGAGGCATGATAGTATTAAAAGTTTTTGCTGGCAATCATACGTAAGTTGAAAGAATGATTAACCACCCACCCAGGGAATACTTCGTGTTTTCATACAGGACATGATGCTGATAATGGTTGCAGATGGCAATGTGAGATGGGCCGATGAACGTGGGAAACAATTTGTTATGGTACCCATCAGTTTTTACCTTGAAAGAATCTGAACTAACAACCATGTTAAATCCTTCAGTAAACCATTTGCTCACGGAATAATCAACTTCAATTCCTCTATCTTTATTCCATAGCCTTCCATCTCTGCCTAAAACCGTGTTCAAACACTGAAGGCAGCCTCGTGGGGTTGATAAAAAGGTGATATTTTGTGTAACAAAGTAAATTAGTGGTTAAGTCTCATAGTGTACGTAGGATGTTACACCCATGGAAGTTCGTAAATCACTACTTTTGCTACTGGAGGATCACACTTTCAATAAGAAACCAAGTGGCAATACAAAGTAATTGAGTATAAAGTATAAACCAAGCTGCCAATTAAAGATTTGAGGACAGGCACTCAATTGGAGGGCCCGCACAAAACTTAAAAAGAAATACAGCAAAATTTAGTAGGCATCTTAGAAGATACAATATACTGATTGATTTACCACAAATAAAAGGACCATTGTGCCACAACAGGGGTCATTGGAAAAGAAAGATATTAAACCTTTGCTGATTCTGTAAGTAGCAACCATAGTTTGATAAGAAATGTCTAACCTTGTGGAAATTGAAAACCAAATCTAGTTCGCAGACATTGCTGAAAAAGTGATCCAAAATCTCCACGAACAAGTGGATGGACTCCAAATAAGCCAACTCATTGTCTGTGATATCAACACAGAGTGAGAAAAATAATCCTGCATATCTTCTGTATATTACCTTGTGGGTACGGAACTGCAAAGAGGGAAAATCATAGACCGATGATATTTATTAGTGAATTATCAAAAAGTATATAACTTTACGAAAATTAAAAAGAAGTAGAGACGGAAAAATAAATCTTGGATGCTGCATCAAGATGACAAATATGTCCACCTTTTTTACTGATGTTGGTATCCTGAAGACCAATGTCTAACTAAAAGACACCATGACTCAGCTATTATGTATATCTCATGAGCAACCTATATTAAAGAAAGTTGATTAAGTCCCTCATTCAAATAAACTCCTCCCTGGATTCAGTTCTTTCATCAATTCTGTTGAGGTTTCAGCACAGAAGGTAATGATTTCCTTTTCTTTTTTTGATTGCATTCAGTTGTATTCTATCTTATAATACACACAGGTTCAAGCTTCAAACTTGCTTTCTTTCTCTCCCTTCCGTTGCTTGAATTCCCACTTAAAGTTCCAATCATAAATCACTTATTTAAGGAGAGAAAAAAAATTCTGCTTTCTTATTTCTTGCTTTGTCCTTTTTGTCAGAAAGGTGATGTTTGGTTCGGAATAGTGGAGAAATTTAACATTGTTAATACAATACAATGTTTTGTTTCATTTTCTTTTCCACATAAAACTTAGCATTATTTTATACAATGTTTCATTCCAATTGTTCTTTTCCGCATAACTAATACCCGCATAAGTTATGCGAGAATCTATGTATTATTTTGTTAATGTTGTCGTGCTACTTGTACCTTTTCGCGAATGTATTTATTTTTAATCTTGTCTAATCTTGTATGACTGCATATCTTTCTTAGCATCCGCATCTCCACGATACTCATCTTGTGGCGGTGTTGGACTTTAGCAGCCCAAGATTCACTCTCATATAACACTGTTGGTCTTATAACCATTCTTTTCTTTCAATGTCTTGTAACTATTGAGCTTACCTTTCACTTTGATAGGCATCTTCTGATCACATAATACCCTGTTAGCACTTCTCCACTAAAACCATCCGATTTTGATTCTATGCGTTATATCTTCCATTCTCCTAGAATGACACGCTAGATATCTAAACTGTTTGCATTTAGGCACCACAATCCCATCCAATCTCACATCAACTTCACTCTTCTTATGTAGACTAAACTTGCAATGCATATAGTCAGTTTTACTTCTACATATCTTAAATTCTTGTCTTACTTCTACTTATCTTAAAATTCTTGTCTTACTTCTACAAATCTTAAAATTCTTACTCTCTAGAGTGCTTCTCCATAGTTCAAGTTTTTGGTTGACACCCTAGTTGGCTTCGTCAATAGTGTACAGTATCGTTAGCAAATAGTATATACTATGAGATCTCATCTTGTATTGTCTTAGTTAGCTCATCCATAACTAGGGAAAACAAGTATTGGCTCAATGTCAATCCCTAATGTAAACCTATAGTAATGGTAAACTCCTTTGTATCTCCAACTACTGTTCTCAAGCTAGTGACGGCTCTTTCAAACATGTCCTTTATGGCATCTATATATTTAACATGAATTATTTTCTTCTCCAATAACCACCAAAAGACCTTTCTTGGAATATGCTTTATCCAGGTCAATAAATACCATGTGTTGATCATTCTTCCTCTCACAATAGATTTTCATTAATCTTACTCTCTGCATTACTAATCTCAACATTCGTAATACAGGGATTGTAATGTATATTATTTCTTATTGGATGTTTGGCTTGTTGCATTAAAAATTATTACTATATCGTATATTTAAAAATATGTTTTTATTTAAAAATAAAGTATTGGTTACAACATTAAGGGTTTTCTTAGCCATTTAATAGTTTCCATGTAGTGTTAATCCTCATATTCTTATTCCACACTCTATCGTGCATAAAATAATACATGGATTCCCACATAACTTATGCGGATACCAGTTATTCAGAAAAGAAAAGGTGGAACCAATGATTTATAAAATAAAGTTAAGTTTTATGTGGAAAGGAAAAGTGAAACCGACATTGTATTAACAATGTCAAATTTTATGTGGAGATTATTTTCTCCATTACTCCAAATCATTTAAGGGAATTAAACAGTTGGTTACGCTTCAAGAAGCATCTGATGACTACTTAAAAAAATTAAAAGCAACGCATCTTTTGATGTAATGCATAAATCCAAATGCCGGATTGTTCAAGGAATTAAATCCGAGAATAGAACACCAATACTGAAGCCATATGTACTGCACAAAAATAGTGGATGCTAAATGGTTCTTCAATCTTCATAAATCCTCTTATCACACAGACACACACAAGCTAAAGCGAAAAGGAGATCCTCTTCTTTCTTGACTCTTCCCTCCTCTCCCTCCCTCCCCTTCCTCCTTTTGACCCTCCCACTCTCTGCCAACATCTATACTTTTAAGGCCAAGAGATTGAACATAGAATCAAACATGCAGGTATGGAAGAAATGGCCATAAAATAAATTTCAACTCAGCCATAACATAAGTTTCTATTGCCAGGAATTATCTGTTGTGCAATAAACTATGAATACTGCCAAATCCTTTAAACATTTCATGGAATTTCTCCCTTCGACCTACTTGTAGAAGTGAACACAATATTGATCCTCCATATGTTAGAACTAGTAGTTAGACACAATGGTAAATGAATAATAGGACAAAGACAAATATGATAAGCCCTCTTAATATGACTTCACCTAAAATGTGAAGTGTCGTACCACAATGTACCGACGGGGAAAACCAAAATAATCATTCACCAAGAGACATCTTTCACGCACACTATAAGGTAGTC